TATGCCCTGCTACTGAGCATTTTTTGATAGAAAAACTCATTAACTGATTTGGTTTTTAGCCCGACGCTTTCAAACCCGGAATCTTCTAATCAGCAGCCGCATCTAAGACCACCACCCTAATGGTCATAACGAAACTGAGATTATCACCTCTGTAAGACCTTTGCGCAAGCTTTGTCTAATTAGGGAATTTCTCGCAAATAAATCGGCCAGCCCTTGATACACTTGGATATACTCATAGTGGCGGCGTAGCAGAATTCATCACCAACTTTTATTTAGTAAGGTACGTTGGGGTAAGATCGGTGATGGGGCAAGACCGTAGGATTCAAATTCCCGGCGAATTATGCTATATTTTGAAAAGCTAACAATATGCTACACGACGCCATTTCATCCTGCCCCGACCCTCAGTTCGCGCCAGTCACTCCGGCAAGTGGGACCTGTGCTGCGTGGCATTTTATAAAACAATGTAATTTTTGTATTATTTTTGTCCATCCGATCTTTCCCTATCACTTTTATTTACGATTTTTATCTTATATGGCTTCTTTTGTTATTATTTTGTGTGGATACTAATTTTTATGAAGTTATAGCTAAATAAAGCTGGTCCATGCAGGGGTAAGATCGCTGTAGGCCGAGATCCGATGTTTCCCCTCGTGAGTGAAGATCGGATGAATATTATCCGATCTTTGCCTGTTACAAATATGGCAGTGGTTGTTAAACTTTCATTTGTCGTGTATATTTTTTCGTTGATTACTCAAGTGACTATGGGACTCAGTCTCGTTAGCAAGTCTGTATATTTAAAAGTAATAAAACAATACAATGGTTTAATTACTTTTAAGTACACATTAAAATACATTTTTTTATAGGATAAGGGTGACAAAGGAGCACACAGTCCACCTGATGTTAAGTGATTGCTGCGGCCCATAGACATCTATATCTATCCTCTATTACAAATCAAAATATAATTTATAATAATTATTTAAAAAATAATTTATAATAATAAATGCCGTTTTGTTAAAATATTTATATCTTCCTTAACTCCTGCATTATCCCAGGGCATTTCGTCAGTCCTTACTGTTATTTTTTTTCCCATATAAAATCAAATGCATCCGATCTTTCTCTTATATTGAGTAATTCCATCTTATGTCATAACAAAGTTTGAGAAACATAAAATTACAATTTCTTTATATCAGGGATAAGATCGGATGGCAAGAAACAAAAAAAGAGAAAATCTTTTGGAACATTTATGTTTCTAGTAATTTATAGATCATATTGAAATATGTTTTTGAGCGTTAAAGATAGGACAAATCTCTTTTATAAACTTTTTTCTCTAAGCAGTAGAAGTGGTTTTAAATTTAAGTTCGGTCTTACCCCTTAATGGCCAATTTTTCATTATGCATATAAAAAAGTATGTCTAGTTTTCGCACACCTTTAAAGCAGAAACCGTTGAGTTTACACAAGCAAAAGATTCTCAGAGCTAAACTACGTTTAACGAATAACGGTTTGCTCCATGTTCCATAAATCTAACGTATACGAATGTCGAGAAATTAAAGTTTTTGGCAGACTCTTCCAACTATTCGAAAATCCGTCCGGTATTACCCCAACGTACCTTAGGTGACGTAAGAACTCACTATGAGAATTTCATAAACTTCTCATGGCTTTCGATAGATGGCGTTTTAAACAATATCCGATAGATTGACCGTTGACGGCGTAGCACTAGCACAGTGGCTGAGCACTTAGCTGCGACACTTCGCGCCACGGGTTTGAATCTCTCACGGAAGAAATATTTGTATGGCATACAAACAAATAAATGTTAAAATGTTAGTCCATGTGCAATTTATGTACCTATGGAGAACGCCTCCATGATACAGGAGAAATTCCTTTTAATTTCAAAAACATTTCGTTCTTCTTTGCGGTTCGTTTTACTACCTACATAATGTACATGTAAAAACGGTTCAACTTGAGAGTTGAAAAACAACATTATGTTAGAAAATGACAAACGGGAGTAATGGAGGAATATAACGTGAATATTTTAGATGTTTTTTTTGCAAAGGATTTTACGAATATCAAACCCTAAATCCATGATTTCGGGAAGGCAATACCGTCTTGCAAATAAAGTAGAAAAATTTCTTCACATTTTTATATAGTTTTATATAGTTTTGATTAGAGCCGGGATTATATGCATTTGCATATTTTCATTTCTCCACATTTGCATATTAAACCCATTTCTACCAGATATTGTATCTTTTATAAAAAATCTTGTTTCGTATGGTGCATAGCTATTAAACGATAATGTAATTTTACGTGGTAGAGTCACGCTGCAGTTTTATTATGGTTGTTAACATGGTAAAGCCATGCTGTAGCTATATTAACGTTGTTAACGTGGTAGAGCCACGTTGTAGCTTTATTATGGTTGTTAACGTGGTAGAGTCACGCTGCAGTTATATTATGGTTGTTATTTGTTAACATGGTAAGGTCATGTTGTAGCTATATTATGCCTGTTAACTTGGTAGAGTCATGCTGTAGCTATATTATGGTTTTAGCACGAATGGATCGACTTGGCCGTGGAAGGACCCCGTTCTCACAGAATAGCAACGTGAAATAGCAGAACTGCTGCTGTGTTTCGTATGATAAGTGTAGAGAACCGGAGACAAAGACGCTTTTTATTGAAAACGAGGCATTCCATTCTAGTCCTCTGGGGTGACAGCGCATTCTGCATTTTGATTCTTAATCGAGGATAAATGTAAACGTCAATGGGCCATACCATGCACTTATCAAATGTACTGATAAGTGGATGCTGTGAAAAATGAGTTTTGCGTTGTAGCTCGAAGCCAGCCAAAATTATTAGCGTCACGGGGCGGCACTTCTATGTTTGCACACATTCTATGTTTTCTTGCTCTAAAAACTCTTTTGTTCTGTGTGCGGTGTGAGAACTCGCATTCTCGTGATGGAGGATGATGCGGCGGTTGCAGTTCTCTTTACGGAGTTCAGAAACGACCTGTGGCAAACAAATGCTAGCATACCATTCTGAATTAACCGTTCTTTGTCCCTCAAGAGGAATAGTCGTAACATGGCCGGTGTTGGAGACAAACGTGGCCACCATTTTTTTTTGCAACACTCCGTGAACGAACAATTTTTGTTGGCTTTAACTCATTTTTGAACACCCAAACTCGTGACTGGTTTTTATTTCGGGTTCGTACGCGTATGTCCAGGATTCGTCACCTGATACGATGTTGATACAGCATTTGAGGATCCTGCGTGGAATCTTTCGAGAGTTTTGACGCACCAAGTAACGCGAGATGCTTTTTGCTCTTCACAGAGCGAATGCGGTATCCATCGGGAAAACAACTTTTTTACACCTAATTCATCATACACATGGATCATCACTGAGCTTGACACGTCCACGTTGAAATTCAGCAAACCAGCGATAAATTGTGGTTTTGGATAGGGCTTCATCACCAAATGCAGAAATCATCCGGTCATCACACTGTTTTTTGTGTTAAACCACTTCGAAAGTCATAATAAATCATTGCTCTTGAATTTTCTCGAGTCAATTCCATTTTCTCAACGACTAAACAAGTTTGACGAAACCTTGTGACAAGACCGAGAATCTTTTTTTTAAATAAATAAATGGTATTCGATTTTTAAAACCAAGGAGTTTCAATTAAAAAGATTTTAATATGACAGGAACAGTGGAAATATTCCGTTCCCGATACTTTTAGTGCAGCCTATGTAGTAGCCGCGCGTCCTTTGTTCAGTTTATTATTTTAATGAAGCCAAGTAAAACTCAAACTTCTTTCTTGTTTTTTTTTTTCATTTTTCTACTTTTATGAATATCTGTGGTTTGGTTTATTTATTTTTAATGTTATCAATATAACATATAGCTAATAGTACAGAAAGAAACAATAACTTTTACATTTTCTGAACAAATTAACTTCCCCGCTATAAAATCTGTCAAATACCTCACTTTCTATTAGCGCGGTCCTGGTGGCAGAAAAAGTCGTGGATTTTGCCAAAATGCCCTCATTGTGGCAAAATAAGTGATAAACTTTTTAATCTCATTGAGAAAGTGATATTTTTATTATAATTCTATTTATATTCATTCCTAAGGCCACTCAAACGGTTGATCAAAATTAAGTTTTAATATTAAAAGTAAAAAAACCTTCATAGAACTAAAACAAACTTCAGAATGTGAAATTATTGTATTATTTTTAGTTCTTTGAATTTCGAGTTAAATTTTAAGTAAAAGATTCTTTTTTCGATTATGAGAAAGATATAATATATATTATATCTTTCATATTTCGTACCCAATAATCAAATTTGTATCAAGTTTATCAAAAAAAAAAAGCGTTGGACGTACCGTATTAAATGTGTTATCCTTTAAGTATTTTATAAGCAAACTATAATATAAATAATTTACACATAAAAATTAAAATTCCGTTGATTAAAATTATATTAAAAATTGAAATGAAGACTGAAGGATTCTTAAAAAAATATTTAAAAAAAGTTTCAATTCTATACCCAATTCACTTTGTGTCATTGAGTTATATGTACTACGTACTAGAGAAGCCATTCCAAACAAAAATTGTGTCCTACTCTATGTGTTCGCGCATGCGCGACTACTACTCCCGAGACTTTAATTTGATATAAAATAAGATTAATATAAAATAAATATGAGATTTTAATATAAAATATCTTAATTTAATCTAATAAAACATATTTCTAAATAAAATGTAATTATAATTATTTTATGGAATTCACAAATCTTCAATTTACGCAATATTTAGTTTCTACGGATTGCAGTACAAGTTCAGTTGAACATAGTCAATGTTCGGATACATGTAACTCAATGAATGACTTTGTGTGTATTAATTTTCTTTGCCTTGTTTTTGGGGTGAGGTAGGTCGCGAAGGTGGCATAAATAAAACAAAACAAACTGTTGCGAAATTATTATTTTTTTTATAGAAAACCCTTTCTTACAGAATCGAAACTACCAGGGGATCAACATGTACGAATGCTTCCTCGAAATCGCGTTCGAAGCAGAGTTGAATACAAACGAGGACCCCGAGTGCCTCGCCATGGCGCACGAACTATGTAATGAGAATCCGTCTACCAGGAACACAGTCATTATGGAGTTTAGAAAAATGCTGTATGGTAAAATCGACTTTGTAAATTATGCTATCCTAGTAATGTGACATGAGCAGCAAGTAAATTTAAATACTTGTTGGTTTGTTAATAAAAAAACTTTGTTTTGTTCTCATGTCGCGGTGTTTTACCAAGCTCCTTAGCCAAACTCCTCCGAAACGGCTGAACCGATTTGTATGAAATTTTGTGTGCATATCGTGCACTATATTTAACTAGATTCTCTTCATAAATATTTATTACGATTAAAATTCTGTTAGAATAAATAGATTAACGAAAAAAAAAAAACAATTACATGTCTATCATTTATCATTACAAGGCTTTTTTTATTATTAGATATTATTATATTATTATAAAATGTTGTACATTTTATGTAATTGTACAGTTCGAATTTATGGTGTATAAAAATATGCATATTTGTTGAGAGTTGAGAGATAATTAGGTAATATATTATGACAATATTTTTATCTAGATTTCCGTTAAATTTATTTTCGTACATACTCGTACATTTTATAAAGAAATGTTTGTTTTGACGACTTTTAAAAAGTATTTCCATCTACATTGTACGTAGGTAAGGGACCATATATTCTAAACCTAGAATAAAGATATGCCTATTTAATTTCTGTTTTCTACAGAACGCGAGGAATGCAACCCTCACCGGACTGACGACGCTTTTCTCCTACGATTCCTTCGAGCACGGCATTTTATTGTACCACGTGCTCATAAACTTGTAAGTTGTGTCAAAATGTTTAACCGACCAAAGACATTCAAATAGCTATATACGAGTCGACAAACATAATCCTGTACCTAGTCGTTGTTTAAGAATCTCGGGGTTTAAGTGATCACTGTGACTTCTGTGTTGCAGGTCTTAGGTTCTTGTTCCTGTAATATTATTTATGAAACGTATTAGTTTATCATTGTTTTTAGTATTTGATATCTTGTCATATAACTCGGATGTGCTGTCGAGATTAGAGATTTAGATTTTTACAGATCATTCTTTTTCGTCTAGTGTGTGGTTTCGTATGATGCATTTTTCGAACTATTGGAAGTGTCAAAAAAATCTTATAGCTTCTGATAGATGGTAGGTGGCGGTATATCTCGTTTACGCCAGACGTAATAATATATCCATACCGGTGATGGGCTATTGCTACTGCATCTGGGGTCTCGTTAGTGAGTAGTATCAGTTCCAGTATATAAAAAGTACTCTGTGGAGTAGTATATTCCTTGCTGAGTACGACGTCACCTCAGGTCTGGTACTGTAGGTTTGTAATATTAAGTAAAAACAATTGAAAGAAAAGAAATGTTGTTTTAATGTTCAACTATCCATTGATCCATCATTCAACCAAAAAAGTTGCCTCTTTACTGCTATTATTGCATTGTGGCTGCCTCGTTACCGACTTACAGGTATATTTTAACGGTCTTATTAAAGCGATTTTAGCTAATCTTCGATCGTTTAAGTCCGCATCGCTAATGTCCCGAGCGATTTTCAAGCACTTTGTTTTACAAAAAGCTTCGTTTATTATAATTAATAATCCAACTAAAAGTAGATTAACAATCACAGTAATACCGCACCCAGCTCCATAATTATTCGAAACTATTGTTGCTAAGGATTTCCCTGCCTGAGAATCACCATTACATTGCTAAAAGTAAAAAGTACATTACATTGCTAAAAGTACTGCGAGTGCCGTCGTCAATTCGCCTGACACCACAGGCTGGTGATAAAGAAGAATATATTCCCCATCAGAGAGCATTGAATAATTTATACTAACAATTATGTTATGACAAATTCCTCCTTTCATCTGGAGAGACCAATGTCTAGCTGTGGACATTTAAAGGTAGATGAAGGAGAAGATTCAAATAGTTTTGGCGTTACCAAGTAACTACGTTTAATAGTTTCTTACCAGCTTATCTTTGCTGGAATTGTATATTAGATTTTTCAATTTATGTTTATTAGTTTTGTCAGTGGTATGGTTCTATTTCTGAATACTTTTGGATATCTCTTTCTATCGTTTACTCTTTTTATAATTTACGAAAAGCATGCTAACATTATATTAAAATTAAAATTATTAAAGAATAAATACGATATGGTTGGGATAGGGATAATCTTTACCCCGGCAATACATATTGGTCAAGCCTCAGCCAACGCGAACGTAGGCTAATTGATGCAAGGCGAGTGCTACAGGCTACACGTTGGTCAAGTGCAAAAGAGACCAATACCAACTGCCAATGTTCACGAGTTTTTGTGGAACTATTCACATGTTGGCCGTTATTAGTTTTTATTGAGAATTAGAACGATTTGGACGACGTAGAAGTTATTGCAGCTTCTGCTTTTTGTTTAGTGAGTGCACATAATTATTATGTCAGTATACTCCGCAGTAAAGTTGTAAAAATGAAGTGAACGTACGAACACGAAAAGTGACTTTGTCGATATTATTTTGAAGTTGCAACTTAATTAAAACATAACATCTCACCGGGACGGACGCCAAGCTGTAACTGACATGGTCCACTCATGCTCATGTGGACGCGACTTGCCAAAAGTGCAGGCGAGCGCCTTTGATTTGTGCAGAAAAATCGACACTGTTCCGAAGTGGACGAGTTGTAGCGAGCGATCCCGAGTGGCGGCAAGACACGCCAAACGACGACCCGTATACACGTTGGCGCTCGCCTGCACTCGGCCATCTAGACGAGCGTCGACGAGCAATGGCGAGGCTTGACGCATGACAATGGGCTGTCTATACGTTTGGTACTCGCCTTCGCTCGGCCAACATAACCAGCCGGCTTTAGATGCCAAATAATAATAAAGTGCATGTGGATAGGGCGCGCGCCAGATCGTGTTCCTCTATGCAGTACATAAATAATAAATATATATGCAGTAAATATGTATGTACAGCATAGAGTTGTGGGTGGCACGAATGCGAATGGGTCGGCTCAGTGGGGTTTGATGGGCTGCAAAGGTTATTTAATTTTTTATTTGAAAGTATCCTAATGAGTTTTATTTTATAATTTTTGTTGCATTATTTAGGCCGATTTCAGTCGTCGGCCGATTTCAGTAGTTAAGTCATAGAATAAAATATATACATAAAAATAACAGAAATGTAAAATGAATTGCAATGGACTTTTTATAATTCATTCAGTGAGATTTTAATTGACGGATAAACAATTGAAAAATCGTCCCTTTACAAAATAATTCGTTTTAATTTAATGTGATTTACGACTTCAAAACTTCTGTTTACAGTTGGTACGTTACTGCAACTTTCGCACGCAATACCCGCATCTTTACGAGGGTGTCGACCTATGGGGTCTCACAAAGGTGAAGGACGCGTATGAGGGTTCAATGTTGGACCGACCTGATGTTGGTCGTTTATCGATTTTTAGGTTTGGTGAGTTTAAAAACATTTTAATACATACCTATCGTTAACAAAGTTTTCAAGGAAAAAAGGTAACATTAAAAAAGTTGCCGCCGAACCACCAACAAACATGAAAAAACGACAGACACCACAAATGACGTATCATGTCTGTAGCTGCTACCAGGGTATCATAAGCTCGTGGAATGTTTTGAGTATTTGGTTAGTGTTGCGCAAATAGAACGGCTCTGTCGTTTATCAATTTTGGTCCGTAACATTTCTAACTTAAGGCTTAGAATTGATTGAAATGAAGAAGAAAGATAAGATGCTTGAGCTTCTTTTGGACACAGTTCATATGAAGCGACATTAAATTGAACGAACACACAGGCACATTCCTATAATATAATGTAGCCACATTGAGTTAACATTGTAACTCTATGTGTAACCAATGGATTTAAAAAGTAATCAAGACCAGTTTTTCGTTCGGACAACTAGCGCCATCTATTAGAACTAATATCAACTACGATATAATCGGTGTGGACTAAATATGTATCGCTTCGTCTTTGCTGAACGGACGAAAACAAAATTATTTTAATAATGTAAGCAAATTTATTTTACGACTTGGTATTTTTACTAGCAAAATTTACCTGAACCTATTCTTCACAGAGCAGTACAGTAAAGTTAAATGTTAACTATAAACGATAGAAAAGTGCGTTACCTACGTTATAAAGTGATTCTATCGAGTTACTTTTTATCATGAATACTTATGAAAAATTGTTTACAAATTCCTATTTTTTATAAACACGATTTTCTCCTGTATCGTGAAAGCAGTTTACGTAGTATATAAATTGCATCTGGATAAACATCCAGACCTGGAACAATTATTTGTAAACCATACAAATTTGTATCTCAGCGTCGCAATTAGGCTTGCCAGTCGTCCCGGACTTTCCGGCAAATCCCGCTTCCGGGTCAATTTTGGAACGTCCCGCCGGAACTCCTTTTGTCCCGGAAATCAGTGATTAATATGATATTAGTAGGTATCTATCTCGTATCAACTACATCACCAACTACGTTATTAAAATTTCTTAATACCTATGCATTGCGTATTTCGCGTGAGAAGCGATCGGTATCGGTGTTCGCTAAGTGCACGGGCGGGTGGGTGTGTTGCGCGGGGGTGGGTCATTCGCTCGCTCGCCGTTCCGTGCATGAAAGACGCATCTGGCTTCCTACATAATTATTTTTCAGATGGTAGCTTCGATACCACCTTCAAATGCATGAGCAGAGAGAATGTTTTCTCTCTGTGGAAATGCATGGACAGACAGAAGAAATAAGCTGTCTGTTGACCACGTCAAGGCTGAACTACAAATTAAAATTAATTTTGATCAAAAATGCGGTGAATTTTCAATTTGCATTCCTTGCAAGGAAGTCTGCAGTTTGTGATCATATCCTAGACGGCCCCCGCCATTACATTAGATTTGATAAACCACAAGTTCTCGCGAAAGAACATCGATTCCTGCCAAGGATGATACGTGAGGCTATTGAAATTAAAAAACATTCTAATTTCAATAGAGAGGGAGGCTGGGTACTACCACCTGCTTGGGATCCTGTAATTCATAAAATTAAAACTAAACCCAAGCATACCACTGCAAGACTTCAAGACACAGTTAGTTCATTCTGCGTAGATCGGACCAAAATTAATAATTAAAAAGCTGAAGGTACTCCGGGTTAACTTTGACATCGGGACGTCAATCACCTTAGTCCCCCGTGACCACGGTTGCTGGAAAGCAACCGAAACGTCGGGAATATAAAATAAGTTAATTAAACGCGATAAAATCCGTAAAAGTAGTTTGATTCAATGTGTAGTGTTCGCGTAAATATAAGAAATCATTATGGTGTATTATTATTTTTTATATGAGAGAGGGAAAACGAACATACGGCTCACCTGATGGTAAGTGACTACCGCCGCCCGTGAACAACTGCAACACCAGGGGAATTGCAGATGCGTTGCCAACCTGTTAAAAAAGTGTAGGCTCTTTTCTTGAAGGTCCCTATATGGCGGTGTAACCATCCTTTTGAGACAGGTGCAATTTTTTTTATAGGATATGGTGACAAACGAGCAAACAGTCCACCTGATGGTAAGTGGTTACTGTGACCCATAGACATCTACATTCAAAGAATCAAAATGCATATGCGTCGTCACCCGTGAGGACTAAGATGGAATGCCTCTTTTCCAGTAAAAAGGAGTCTCCGGTTCACTACACTCACCATACGAAACACATCAGTGTCAAGCTGCCATTTTACGCTGGTATTCTGTGATTAATCTGTAAATTACCAGATCGGCAACTGCAGCGTTACTTACACTGATACAAGGTGTCTGGTACCGTGGCCGTCAATCTAACCTGATAAGCGAGGTCCTCCATACAACGGGGTAGACTAGTAGTGACATAGCATGGGTTACAGTCACCCAGAGCCGCTAGAGCCAATAATGCTCCGCTCATCGTCACCCTTTCCTTTATCCCAAATCTTAAAAAATTGGTAACGGCATTCTGTAATATTTGTAACATTATTTCAGAATGAAAAGATCAATACCTAATCAGGGGTGTCACTTCCACTATGGAAGGTATGGAGCACTCCATACCTCAAGTTTTTCAAGGTATGGAATTCCATAGCTGAAATTAGGAAATAAATCGCATATTACTACAAACCCCATATAAATAAATCGCAAGCCCTTAAACCTCAATACCCCACATCTTATAGTTCAATAAATAAGTTGAGTATATACACTGCAAACTCTTAAACCTTAATACCCCACGAGTAATGCGAACAAATTTGAAAATCGCGCCACCATTTTCCATACCTCAGATTTTTACAAAGTGACACGCCTGTACCTAATCAGTAACTTAATGCATTTTAGTATTTATTTATTACGCTTGACAAGTGTGGTTGCAGTCTGCAGATTATTTATGTTTTCAAAACTTTCATTGCTACAATTTTTTTTAAATTATGATCAAACTATTCAGTAAGAGAGATTCACTAGTTTTCATACTTTTTGAGATATGTATTTACCGGCATCATGGGAAAAATCTATCAACCCACTTCCTTGCTACGTAACCGGGAATGTCTATCAAAAGTCATAAGCACTAGATCTTATTGATTAAATTTATTAATTACTGGCAATCCACCTCGGCTTCGCACCGGTGGTTTTTAGCTGTGTATCGCTAGCAACGCAAAATCGGGAATTTGCATTTGGAAAAATCCAAAATTAGGGGCTTTTTAAGTGCTAATTAGGTGCCAAGTTTAAAAATTAGGTGCTCTAAAATTTTCACCGCAAGGAAAGATTGAAATTTGCGTTGCCAGCAAAACGTCTCGCTAGCAACGCAATAAAGTTATTAGATATACCATAAATATTAATAGCAAGGAATTAAGTGCTAATTAGGTGCTGCAAGTATACGCAATAACAAGGCGCCCCTAATAAAAATAAAGTCATTATTCAGAACAAAGCAGATGCAAAATTCAGGTTTTCTGAAAATCAGAAAAGAATCAAAAATGCTTTTAGAAAAAGTCCAAATTAAGGGCTTTTTAGGTGCTAATTAAGTACCAAGTTTAAAAGTTAGTTGCTCCAAAATTTTCACCGCAACGAACCATTGAAATTTGCGTTGCTGGCAAAACGTATCCTTTGTATTTGCTTCTTAAACGTATCGCTAGCAACGCAATGAAGTTATTAGATATACGATAAATATTAATAACAAGGAATTAAGTGCTAATTAGGTGCTGCAAGTATACGCAATGACAAGGCGCCCCTAATAAAAATAAAGTCGTTATTCAGAAACAAAACAGATGCAAGATTATGGTTTTCTGAAAATCAGAATAGAATCAAAATTGCTTTTAGAAAAAGCCCAAATTAGGGGCTTTTTAGGTGCTAATTAAGTACTAAGTTTAAAAATTAGTTGCTCCAAAATTTTCGCCGCAGCGAACCATTGAAATTTGCGTTGCTGGCAAAACGTATTGCTAGCAACGCAATGAAGTTATTAGATATACGATAAATAATAATAGCAAGAAATTAAGTGCTAATTAAATGCTGCAAATATAGGCAATGACAAGGCGCCCCAGATAAAAAATAAAGTCGTTATTCAGAAAATTATTCAGTAAAGCAAATGCAAAAACCAGGACATTGTTTTTGTGCCATCTAGCGTCTATCGCACTGACCACCTTGAGAGTCCATCGATTTTGATTCGATAAAATGACTAGAATTATAGAACGTTGTAGATGGCGCTATTTATTACAAAGCAATTTACTGGAAAGAATATAATATCCTTTCGATTTCGTACACTAAAAATAAGAATTGTAATATTTATTTGCTATAAAATTAAACTTCTATCGTATATAGTAATTAGGTCAAGTTCAAATGAGTAAGCGCCGCCTCTTACAGTCTTACACCGCTCCACCCCCACCTCGCCACGCGCTTTCTTTTGATATTACCAGGACTATTACCGTTTAGAAGGTCCAATATTTTTATTTTTGTATGAAAATAAAAATTTTAGAAATATATGTATTTTCTTACAGATGTTGTTGTTATGATGTAAATAACATAAAAATTACCCTGTATACATCTTGCAAAGATCATTATTTATTAGAAGAATAAAACATTAAAATAAACAATAAAACATTTTAATAACATACTATAGCCGTATAGCCGTAAACATAATGTTTTAATAACACATACTATCTCTCTTTGGATAATAAATGTTCCCCAAATTTCGGTCGCGGCGGCCAGTCTCAAAGGAGACTAGCCATCTGCCAGGGTTATGGTGCCCGAGTGTATGTGCAAGCCCAGGTGCGCTCTCTATTCCCTCACTCTCATAGTCCGATGGGATGACACGACCGGACAGAGAGATCAGGCGCTGAACCAATGGTTTTACGTGCTTTCCGAGGCACGGGGATGAGACACCGCCTACTGAGAATTGTTTGACGCAAAAACTCAATAAATGATTTTTTGGCCTGACTCGGGATTCTAATCCGGGACCTCAATTTTGCAA